CAAAGTGTTCCATAATAGTTGTTAGAGATATTGATCGATTTTGAATAAAATTTAATTTCTTGTCTAAAATTGAATATAATGGTTAAACCCCAAATCCTAATTTTTTGTTATTTTGTGATTTCTCTTCTAGACTTTTAAATTTTTTTTCTCTCATTTCTAAACAAAATTCGTTGTTTTTTTTTTTTAAACACCGAAAGCAATCAATCCTAAGAGCAGTGGGTAACCTATAGTTTACAAATTATAATTTTTTTTACTTTAATTAAATTATTAGTATATATCTAAAATTTTATATTATAAACTCCTAATTTTATATATTAAATTCACTAATTATAATTTTTAAAATTTATATTTTATTCTTCATACATATTATTATTATTATTATTATTTTAAAAAAATAATTATCCTTCTAACTTAAATTTGTCAGTGTTTTAAAATATTAGGTAATAAATCTTATAACTGTTAGGATACGATGTATGATTCGTTATTTCATTTGATTCTTGTTGGGTAGTGGTAAGCCGTAAGTGAATTATATTTGCCTCGTGTACTTCATGTTCGTTGACCTTATAAAGACGTTGGCATTGTCAAAGCAATTTCCAGGAAAGGAATAGGAATATTCTGCGATGGCTGTGTTCTTGGCGTTTTGCAACAAAATTGAAAACGACAAAGATGCAGACGTGGCACTTACAGTTAACTTGATTGAGTGGGTCAACGGTCAAAGACAAGGACAAAATAAATATATGTGATTGATACATCTACATATGTGATAATAATTTATATCTCTTAATCAAATGTTTAGTGTTCAAATTTTAACTAAATATGAATACATCATATTCACTTCTGTCTACATTTAACACAGAATCTGGACTGTCCACACTAGCCATCACCTTAATACCCAAAAAAGTGTCTAATCAAACTCAATGCTGTCTATGTACAACGTATCTACATCAAAGAACCCAACCAAAGATCACACCATGCACACTCCTCTCCTCTACTTCCACAATTTGCAAAAAACAATCAAAACAATATTTTATTTTAAGCTCATTTTCCCACGGTTAACATCAAAATGATCGAGAATATTGATAATCAACGTGACAAAAAATTTGTTAAGTTGGAGCAATAAAATATTTTATATCAATTTTACTAAAAGAAATTAATATTTTTTTGAAAAATATATTTTTATCGTAAAAAATTTAAAATATCTTATTTTAATAAATTAAATTATCTTATAAATAGAATGATAATTTTTTTATCTGAGATTATATTTAACTATTACTTTATAATTTTTTGTGACTTATTTAATATTAAAGAAATATAATAGTAAAAATTAATAGGATAAAAATAATAACATTATCAATTTATTTTTTTTTAAGTATTTTCTAAATTTCTACACTCATTTAAAACAGAAATATTTTATGAGTGCAATGTTTATTTTTTTTATAAGAGTAAATGTCTTTATTTAAATATGTTTAAGTTAAAAAAATTGTGTGACAATTACTCTCATTGCTCTTAATGTAGATCATCTCCTACCAATACAATATACATATACATGATCAAATGGTTAAAAAATAAAATAAAAATTAAAAATAACCTACATTAGTAAACTAAATTATGACATCTTCAATGAGTAAAGAAGTAATAAATCTTTTAGTTAAAAAATACAGTATATTATAATAATAAAAATAAGAAGGGATATATTGATAGATTTACTTTACTAAATAATTCATGTTCTAAATCAAGTATTTATCCGATCAACTAAAAGTCTTTAATGTATAGATCAAATTTATAAAATTTTTAAAATTATTTAATACTTCATTTCATTAATTTAAATTGATGGATAATTATAAAAAAAATATATGTTATGTTAAATCTATCTAATGAAGTATCTTATGATTTTCATTTTTTTTTTAAATTTGTAAACCTAATCTGATACATTAAAAACTTTTAATTTAACAGTTAAATTTTTAAAAATTTGATATATAACATTAATTATTAAATAGAATAAATATATCAAAACTTATTTTTAGTTTTTCCTCATAAAAAATTAAGATAATTTTATCATAAAATAAATAAAATAAACAATAAAATAAAATATTAATATATTTTATAATATGAGATATAATAGAATAATTAAAATATATTTTATATAAACTGCCCCACTACCGTAAACGTGGATCCGTGGTTGCGAACATCTCGAGGAAAAGTGAACTCAATTCTCTTAAACAACATGTTGGAGCAACTGAATAGAAAAGAAAAGGAAATTAGATTAAAATGATCGACCAAAACTTGATCATAGGGAAAACTAATAGATCCGAAAAAGAGTGAGAATATTAATATAGTAAAAAGATAGAGAATTGTGTTTGAGAATATCAAGTAAAAATATATATTATTGAGGTATTTTTAAATTAAAGTTTAATTATTAATTCGGAGTTGTTACGCTATCATTTATTCTTCATATTTCATCTGATGAGTTTAGCTATATAAACAGTTACAGCGATCACCTAAATCAACTAATGCAAATACATATTATTAAAATCAGTTTATTCATTTTGGTATTCAAAATAATTAATTAATAAATTATATATTAGAATTAATAATTAATGATCCTTTACTTATTAATTAGGTGCTATTTTTTTTTAAATAAATTGATTAATTGTATTAATTGCGTTATTTTTTTTGGACACCATTAATTGCGTAAATTTTAAATAATCACATTACCCTTAATTTGGATATGAAAACTTTCAACAAACTATCTTTCTTTCTCTCTCTCTCTCTTAATGTTTTAAATAATTATCTAAATAAAATGTATTAATTTTCTACAATGTAATATATAAAAATCTTAATTAGCACACATGTAATATGTATGATAAATTATTATTTTAATTAAAGTCGTCAAAGAAATAATTTCTTATATATTAATTTTGTGACCAAAAAATTATATGTTTTAGTGTTATATATAGAAAAAAATACAATATATATCCCAAAACTTAAAATAATCCTTAATAACTCAATTAAAACTAATATGTATTCAGCATCAATTAATTGAGTTTATAATATATAGCGATCCTAGTTAATTGAGTTTATAATATATTGCAATTCATGGCTGAAAAATAAAAGAGAATTAAAATATATACGGATTTTCAATGGAAGAAATAAAACAAAGTAGTGCAAGAAAAATTCGTTTTTCAACGAAAGAAAGCTGGTAGAAGGAAGACAATCAGAAAATTTGCAACGAGTTTTATTAAAAAAAAAATGAAAAAATGGTACATAAACAATGTTTATTATAAGAAAAATAGCACCTTTACTTTAGAGAGATTCTTAGACCACACGCTCTATATTTTGTTTATTCATGATGCTTATATTTCTTAAAGAAAATGTAGAATGAAGGTTGAAGAAAAAAGAAAAGACATGGCGTTGCGAATGCTAATTAATGAATTGCTCATTCTAAAAGGCCAGTATGGTTTGTATTTTAGCAAAATCAGAATAGAATTTATTTAATTGCACAATTTTAAGTTGCATTAATTGTCTCAAATATTTTAATTTCAAAATAGAAACATCATAGTACTAATTATTATATGCTCCATAAAATTAGGCAATATTTTTAAGTCATGGATACATAATTAAACATGGACAATTAATCAATCATCACTTCAATTTTGGACAGGTTAAATTAATCAATAATCACTTTTAAGAAGATGCATTAGAACTTAGAAGTGTTTCTTATTTAGATGCATACACTATTTTCTCATCAAGAAAAATGATAGATAAGCCATGTTTATTTGTTCAAAAGATTTGAATCTTCGAATTGTCTTTATGCATCAACTCGTTTGATCTTGGGTTTTTTTTCGCGGGAAAGTGAAAAAATAATCTCTTAATAAATATTATTATTTATGATTTCAATTTCCAAATTTAAAAGTGTAAACACACTAATAGTTAATCACACCGTTAAATAAAAAATATTAAATGTATCACACATTCATACAAAATTATGAGTTATTATTAAAAATTATTATATAATGAAAAAATGAAACAATAATGATGAATATTATAAAAAAATTCATGATGGATAGATAAAATGTCATAATTTAATTTTAAAATTTTAATGATATATGATAAGTTAATGGTGACACAGTACAAAAAAAACTTGTGACAAAAAGATGAAAGTTCATAATTTGATTTTATATTTAAGTGGAATAAGAGAAGTCATAATTTAAAAATAAAAAAATTAAAGAAATTAAAGATAAAAGAAAAATGAGAAAATTAAAACTAATTTTTTTATTTATAATTTTACATTAACAATATGAAAGTTCACATCGAAAAAGAAAAAAAAAGTTAATAATATACCATACTTTTCTCTTTAGATATAATATTATTGATTTATTTTTTTTAAAGTTATTAATAAAACTTTATTGACTAATGAAAAAATTAATAATTAATTTATTTTCCTCAATAAACTTTTAATAATTAATTAAGTAATTTTTTATATTATATAAAATAAATAATAATTTGTGTACTTCTACGTCTGAACAGTCGTACGTGCTACTGGCGTATACATAGGCACTGTACATGAATGTTAGAACAACGGACAGAAAAATGAAACTTTGTTGAATATTTCACTTTCACCAAAGAATTTCAAATATAAAAATCTCGTGCCAAATTAATCCAACCGCGGAATTCATCGAATCATTCTAATTAATTTAATAAAGTTGTCTAAATGCTGCGAAGCCAAGCCGTTCGAGTTTTTCACTTTAAAGGCGGCGATTGTTGAGGATGTCACAACAACATCACTATTTCAGTCAAAGTTATGCACACGTGTACGAGACAACGAGTAGGACATCACGGATGACGCAACGCAGGTGTGAATTTGAACTTGGCCATGCCCTCTTTTACGTCACAGTAATTCATCTGCGAGTGACGTGTCACTGAATCGTATGATAACATTATTTGTCTTGCTATATAAATATGCATAGCTCACCAAACCGTCTTCTCAGAATTCTATCTGAGAAATTCAATACTAATTATTGTCAAATGGATCAACAACAGGGAAGTCAACCTTCTTCAACCAAAGTGGAAAGAAAGGTTGTAGAAAAAAATAGGAGAAACCAGATGAAGAACCTCTATTCTCAACTCTACTCTATTCTTCCTACCTATAATCCTAAGGTATGCTTTATCTCTCTCTCTCTCTCTCCATATGCATGCATGCATTCAAAGAAAATCATGCCCATGCCAGTTGTTTTTATTTTTTTGTTTTTTTATTTATATGAAAATACTAAGTAAATCTTAGTATTTTGTGGAATTAATTATCTTTAATTACTACTCACAATTGCTTTAACTATCACAATTTAAAACCATGAACGTACGTTGATATATATGATGCAATGTTTTTGTTTAATTCAGGAAGCGGTGCCACTGCCTAATCAAGTAGATGAAGCTATCAACTACATCAAAAGTCTCGAGAAAAAAGTGAAGACGGCACAAGAGAAGAAAGAAAGGCTATTGACGGAAAGGGAGAGAACTCGTAGTGGCTTCTCGAGTGCTTCTGAAGCACAAGGAAGCATGAAGTCTGCAAAAATCGATATTCATGAAACCGATTCTTCTCTCCAAGTCTTTCTAACATGCGGGGTCGAAAACCAGTTCATTTTCTGTGAAATTATTAGAATATTGCATGAAGAGAACGTCGAGGTCATCTCTGCCAATTCTTCAATGGTTGGAGATTCAATGCTCCATGTTGTGCGTGGGGAGGTATATATATTAATTATATAAAATTAATGTTTTGCGAAAAATGGTGATATATTAAGAAATTTGTAAGTGTTGTTTTGCTTTCTTAATTTGCTTACTTCTTCATGTAGATTCGGCAATCCTTGTTTCAAATTGGAGCAACCAAAGTGAGTGAGAGGCTGAAAAGGTTTGTATACGCATCTATCAGTGATGTGGAAATGGAAACTGATTTCTGGGATTTTGAAATTGGTAGTGACATTTGGGAGCTTCTAGATCCTACATTAGACAACTGTTTACAACTAGAAGGAGATATTGACACCAGCAATATTTAAGGCTAATATATATATATATATATTCTATAATGTGTAAGAATAAAATAGTCATGAAGTGCATGACATAACAGCATTGTTGGCCCTAATATCCCAATGAAATAAAGGGAATCAACAGCATATTTTCCCTTTTCCGTGTAATTCAAACATCTTATTAGGTGTCAATTGCCAATAATCTGCGTCAGATTTTGTAAGTACGTTAAGCTATACTAATATACTTAATTAACTACCAGTTCTCTTTTGTTGTACTGGTTTTTGACTTCAATTAGTACAATATCAGAACCCAATTAAATAACAACCTAAAATTAATATAGAACTCTCTCAGCAAGCCAAAGAGATGCTAAATTCAGTCTCAGTGGCTATATATGGCTTATAATGTCAATCTTCTCATCTCCAAATTATTATGTATATTTTGGTTAAACCTCAACAACCAAACTATATGCTTGAGATATTACAACTATATCCTGACAGATGATCAGCGACAGGTGATGTCAAACATGCTAGAGTTCTGTAAAATTAAATTGGATATTCATTGATTATTTTCATTTGTCAACAAAACTGGTTTAATATAACATGACATATTTTAGAAATCACATTTTTAATACTTTGATTAAATGGTCATGATAGGTTTCCTCTCTTGTGTTTATAAAATGATCGAGTAATGTTACTTTTACAATTTTTTCTCTCCATTAATTCTCATATTTTATAAAAAAAAAATGTTAAAAAAAATATTGAATATCTTAAGAACATAAAAGAACATTCAATATGAGAAATGTCAAATAGATATATTCTTTAACCACTAAAATCGGTTTAGTAATGTCAAAATTATAGTATATGCACAAAGTACTTGATTTAATATTATTAACATTATAATTTTTTGTCAAATAGACAAATATTTTTAAAAGTATTTCAGTCTATTCAATATTTCTCATATTGATTATTTTATTTTTAATTGTGTCATCCTATTATATTTATTTATTATATTTATAATTTCTTTCTTGTGCCTTATGGAATTTTGCCAAATATTTTTCATTATTCAAAACTTTGAGTTGGATTGCACAAAAGAGTGTTAAAAAAATTTGTTGTGCCTTTTTTTCTTTTTAATGAACTGTCTCCCTTTTAACATTAGTATTTTTGCTGGCTTAGAATGCTTGAGGCTTACTTTATGATAAAATGAAGGATGTATTTATTTGGAAGAGAGGAGTTGAGAGGGGGTGATAATGGAGTGGAATTGTTTGTTTAGGTAAAGATGAGAGTGAGGTTATATTTAATTCTAGGCGAGCCTGCTTAAAATATTTTTTTTCTCTCTAATGATATGTGCAGTTTTGATTTGAATGATATTAAGAGAATAATGAAACTCTGGAGGAGAAATTAATTAGAGCAAAATCGATAATATATAGGAAGATAAGACTAAAGATATAAAAATGATGTACACCATAATTTTGTTTTGATAATAAATGAAATTTTCTTGTATATTTCTTTGAGTTTCATTTTTTTTTTCCTTTTACTTTTTGTTTATCGATCGGAAAAATAAGAGAATCATACGAGAGTTCAATTTCTAAATTAAATAGTAAGTCTTAAAAAGTAATGAGAGTAATTTTGAATACACTTAATAATATTTGATTATGGTGGGATCTTTAATTTTAAAAAATACAAAATAAAAATATATGAACACACAAATATTTTTGACATAAAACAAGGTAATAGTTTTATCAAGGTAAGTAAGGGGCACCCTTGTTGAGTTAAAAAATTTAAATAATAATATTTTCTTAAAATAACAAGGTTTGTTTTAAATAAAAAATATTCCATGTTCAAAAAAGAATAAATGAAACTTAACTCCCAAAAAATTTCTTGTTATTTTATAAGAGTAAATTAAATATATTTTAAAGTTATATGGATTTTACACATATAACTAGAGGTTACCATTCTAAGAGGGACATCCTAGCTAGTGTTAATATTTTTCCTATGTGTAATTGTTTTTTAACCCAAAATTTGACTTCAAAACTTATTTTATAAAAGAATTTTAATTTTCAATATATTTCCTGAAAAACCTTGATTATTGATGACATTTTTGTTTTTTTATTAACTTTTTTTAAGTGTCTCACAGATCAAATAACACATCTCACACATCAAAAAGGTTATTAATTTTTTTAAACAAATATTAGTGATTAGTGTGTTATGTTAGTTGAGAAATTTAAACTCATCTACTTCTTATCATTTGAGTCTTATGTCTCTCCATCTAAACTATCATAACAAAAGAGTTTTATATATCACCAATTAAAATATCATACCATTTTATAATTTTCAAAAAATTAAATCGATTAGTGATTTAAATAGTTGAATATGTATATTACCAACCAATTTTTTTTAAACTCTTTTATATCTATGCCATTCTACTCTTTCTTTCAATTTGCTTTTCAGATATTTACATTTAAAGTTATTTGATTTTAATTAGGATTCTTTTGTTTATTCCTTTCTTTTTGGTAATTTTTTAATTTACTTTTAATTGCATTTTTTTTTAAATTTAAAGTCAGATATTTACACTACTGCAAAGTTAATTTTCTAAATTTTATTAGCTCTTCAAATTCACCTTCTTGCATATTTACATTTCAAAGCACTCCAATATTACATGCTATTTGTAGTTATTATTATTATTATTATTTTTTTTTGTGTGTGTAGAACACAAGTAGATCCTTCAATGAAGTTAATTCTGTTCAAACCGGTTCAGACCACTGTGTGGTATTTGTGGTTGTAGTCCTTTGAAATTTTAATTTCTTTTAAATTTTACATTTAAAATTTCAATTCAAATGCTTAATTTTTTTATTTACACGTTTTTTTTTAAATTCATTTTTCAAGTTAATTGTTTTCTTTACATTACACGGAGTTTACGTTGCTTTTCTTTCAAATATAGAAATTCTTCAATTAAGTTTCCTTTGAAACTAGTTCAAGTTTTAATTATAATTCTGAACCATCAAATTAGAAAGATTGGATTTAGATTTAAAATAAATCAAAATCAATGCTTTTTTTTACAAATTATGCTAGTTCAATACTACACAAGTTAGTATTCTAATTAGATTCAACTACATCATAAATATGTCGAATCCAATAACTTATTTGTTCATTATCTTAATCAAAATATTGACTTAATTAAATTTGGACTCAACTTCATGTCATTTAATTGAAAATTAAATACTGTTGGTTTGACAAAAAAAAGAGCATAAACTAGTTTTATTGATTCTAAAAGTTTCAAATACATCATTATTTAGAATTAGACCTGAAAAATTAATCAAATACTTCAGGTTTTATCTCGACTTAAAACACAGAAAGATATATCTAAGCAATGTATTATGTGGGAAATCATTTTTTTTTATTTATCTGAGACTGGTCATGGGAAGAATAAATATTGATTATATTTGATCTTATAACAAATGATCAAAATTAATTAAAACACAAATATCATGTGAATTCTTTTACAAGTTTCATGAAACTTTAAAATAACCATATAATTTTAAATATTGATGATCATCCATGCATGTATGATTATGTGTTTCATGTGAGTAATATAATTAAACAATTGAATTGGTGAAAAATTATTTATAACTCATTCCTCCTCTCTGGTGGGTAAATTTTGTCGACCAGTTTAATTAATTATTAGTTTGGGTGTTTAATTTATGGTTAGTGTAAAGTATTGTTCAGCTAATAATTGTTTCTTTGAAAAACTAATTAATAATCGTTTCAAATATATAGACAAGTTTTATTAAGTCAACTTTTAATAATTGTGCCTTCATATAATTAATATAGTAACAACCTTTGTTTTGTATTATTCTACTGTAAATTTAATCTTTTTTTGCAATTGCTATACATTTCCTTTTTCTAATTCTAGAATCATAGGCATGGATGCCGTAACGTAATTACAGTATACAACGTTAAAGTTCCATAAGAGCAACTCCAATGGGAGTTGCTTGTCTCATGAAGCAACTCAAGTCTCGGTTTCTTGCCATTGGAAGACTCTGACGTGGCAACATGAGTTGCTTGAAGAAGAGAGAGAGTTGCTTCCTCAAGCAACCGTTGCTTACCAGATTTCAAACAGATCTTATTAAATATATTTGTGAACGTTTTGGAAATAATAATGATGAAAATTAATTTCGTATATATGTATTTACTATTGCTTTATTTTATTTTTAATATCTACTTATTGTGTATTTTTTCTCGTAATTTATTTTCTTTCATTGTAGTGCAATTATCCTTTTTAATAAAAATTTAAAATTGGTTCATAAATGATTAGAAAAAAAAAATTCTAAAAGTTGAATTCCTTAAAATTTTTTATCATTGGAATAAATTTGTGTTTGAGTTGCTTAATACTGACATGGCACACTGGGAACCTCTTTTTTTATTTTTCAATGCATAAAACAACTCAAATGAGTTGCTTCCATTGGAGATGCCCTAATAGCAGCTTCCATGCATTAATAATGGCATTAAAGTCAACAATAAGCCGCAAAGTCCCTCCCAGACCCACCATAAATCACCCAAACAACCCATTAACCAAAAACGCACATAAGATTACAAACAGAAAGAAACACACTATGCCGTTGTTCCATCCACAAAACCACGAATTAACCCCTGGAAAATGGAAATAACCAGGTAATGCCAAGTGAATAAGACGATAATGTTTCATTCCCACTTACTTTTCCATAATTAGTATTGTCAACAATCTTTTTTTTCAAAGAAACGCGTATCTTTTACGAGTCTGTTCGCCCTTAATTAGGCCATCTGCAATGAGTGTTTTTATGTATGTAGGTTTTTAAATTAAGAATTGGTTACTATTACTATTATTTATTATTATTAATTTTTATTTTTATTTTTTTTATCATTAGAGTCATGGAGAGTGAAGTGACATTACATCAGCATGGGTTCTCTTATACAAAATTCGCAAGAATTGAGTTCTTGCATAAAAAAAAAAGAAGAAAATATGTCTATTGCATGTGGAATTTAGGATATTCAAT